TATTTGGAACTTGGAGGTTTGAATAAATAATCAATTTATTTGAGATACAAATAGATCTGATTCAAGTGAATTAAAATAGATAATCATCATCAATATAGCAATAAATATCTTAGAACATGCTTTATAATTTATGAAATTGAGAGATCACCTGTCAAATGATTTAGGGCATCTAAATCTATCATCTACAATTTTATGTTATCTTTGTTAGGGCATTTATGATATAACCTGTCTGAGACATGAAACGAGTATTAATCACAGTGGAGTCAGTGGACACAAACAATTATTCTAAGATTGGATGAACATTTTTTTGGAGAAGATCATTTGTTATTTGTTATATATAAATATAAATGAGTAAAAATTCCAAGATATAATTAATCGCAAGAACATGCTTAAATTAGTTTTTTTGTTTATTTAATCAGTAATGTTCTATGCATTGAGTGCATGCTTTATATCAATTTTATTAATTTAGAATAAGTGAATCAATATGTTTCAAGGTGGGATTTGGTTGAATTCATGGCTAATATATTCACTAATATTTTTAGCTCGTAAAGGATGGTCAGAAGTAGAGATAAAGCTGTATTGGGTCATAAGAAGGATCCAGTATTGAAACATAGCACCCAAGTGGATGTTGGAGGCAGTGAAAAATCATATCTATATTCGAAGGAGCACCTTTTCAGGTCACACAAGAATGTTGCACAATGCTCTAAAGTGCCTAATATAGTCAGGGAGGAGATAAAAACAATATGAATAAGTCTATCACGTCAAAGCATCTTGCACAGAAGTAGTTTGAGGACAGTTGATGTTGCCTCATACAACGGGAGTGAGAATAGTGGTAGGGATTCATCTTCGATGAATCCCATATCTTTTAGAAGTGCAAGAGGTCCCATGGATCATTACATGGTGCAAACATCAGAGAATAGGCCTTCTACTGCACAGAGGATGACCGCAGAGAATGTTAGGGAGGCACGGAGCAGAGTATTTAAGGATATAAGCAGATTCTTCTATGAAATGTTATCCCATTAAATGTTGCAACATCGCTTGCTTATTCCAACATGATTCGGTCAGTTAAAGCATATGGGAGAGGGTTCAAATCTCTAACCATGTATAATTTGAGAACGTGGATTTTGAAGGATTCAAACCCTAAAACCTAAAATATACCTTTTTACAAGATGATTGAAATTGATGGCAAAGAGTCAGGCTGGCCAACTAGCTCTTGGCCGGGCAACCAAAAGTTGGTCACTTTTCTTTAGCCAACCCTGGCTTTCATCAACTTATTGCTTCAGTTGGTCAATGTGCTGGTTGTCCAATGCTTCTTATTGGTTGCCGAACGTTACAAGTGGCCATGCATTGGCTAGGTGTGACTAGACATGCTTGCCTGAGTTAAATATAGTCCATGTGGACATGCTTTGGTTGCACTCAAAATAGATATACATGCTTGAGTTTTATGCAAAACATATAGTTATGACTGAGTTGCAACATCGCCAAAATAGTTAGACTGGATACAATTATGCAACCCAAGTTTGTAAATGGTTTATCACAGGCTGATGTTGGAATGTAGTAGAGCTTTGTAAATTCTTTGGTAAGGAGCTGATGGATATGATATGCAAGATAAGTATTAAAACAGAGTTGATTGAAGACAAGTTGGAACTTATTTCCCATATTTCTGGAATAAAACTATTTCTGCTTTGGCCTATGAAGCTTCCGTTCAAGGACAATATGATCTACATTTTTGGAAATGGATAAAAAAAGCCAAACTCAATTCTCGAGTGGAGGTATTCTAGTGGAGGATTTTTAACAATGCCTTACCTACAAGACAATTTTTATCACATAGAAGATTGCAAGAATTCAACTCTTGTCCTAGGAGATGCAATGTAATTGAAGATATTGAGCACATTGCAATTAAGTGTGAAAAACTGAAAGAAAATTTTCAACATTTAAATAGTTGGGGTTTTGGAATCCCATCTTTTGTCAATTTTGAAGAATGCTGTAAGTACTTGAATTTTCTTGCTTTGCATGATAGCCCGTTGGTAAATATATACTGCAATTTTGTTTATTTTTCATGGAAGTCCAGAAATAAACTAGTCCACGAAGGCAAGGAAGATAGCTTGGTCATTATTGAAGTCGATGTTGTGAGCTATATGTCGGTTTCTACTCATATTGGGTTTTATAAAACGGACCACTGGGATGCTAATCAGTCAATTAGACTGTTGAATCATTGGCATCCTCCTCCTATCGATTGGATTAAGGTTAATGTTGACGCCTCACTTTTATCTTCATATAGAGCTGGAATTGGTGGTATGTTTCGAGACTATAAAGAAGGTTTCTCCTGGCATTTGGAGTTTCATTTGTTCATTGGGATTTCTCTCGATTGGAGTTGCTAGCAATTCAATCTTTGAAGGATTTCATTAAAGATTGGATGTTCAATTACAAGGGATTAATCATCGAAGGTGATAATTCCAACATTATCAAATTTCTCCAAGGTGGAAATCAATTGGAAGATCTTGCTTTTATTAAGGATTTCAATCATGTCATTTTTAATTGTATAGATAGAAATTGCAATAAGTTAGCAGATTTGTGTGCTAACTATGCTATCTTTAGTAATTTTGTTTGGGAAGATTTTAGGTTGAATAAGGTTCCTCCTCTTTTTTATAATTTGTTAAAGGAGGAAACTGGTATGTAGGTTGTAATTTTTTTTTTAGTTTTTAATGCAATTGCTTGCTTCTTTCAACAAAAAAAAAAAAAGAAAAAAGTTTGTAAATGGTTTGCAACCAACACAAGCAGCCATTTCTGGTTTGCAACTAGGAGGAGCTGTTTGGTCTCATTCCTTGTAATATGGTAATTGACTAGCCTTTAATTAATTGGTCATTTGCTTCGATTAGCTAAAAAAAGAAAGAGTGGTTGACCAGTTAGAGATTCTTTCATTCCCTTTGCCCATCTTTCAAAATAGTATTTTAGGTGTTATAAATGAAAAATAACTGGTTTTGCCAACAACAAAAACAACAAACCTTTATCCCTCTACGTGGGGGTCGACTACATGAATCCTTTTTTTCCATTGTGTCCGATTAAGAGTCAAATTCTCATTTAGATCTAATAAAGAGAGGTCATTTCTAATATTTTTCAAACAAGTCTTTTTAGGTCTACCTCTACCTTTCTTAACATAGGTTAAATCTATTACATTTACTTTCCTAACCAGGTCATCGGACGGCCGCCGTTTTATGTGACCAAACCATCTAATGCGACTCTCTCTAATCTTATCTTCCACTAGAGCTACTCTAACCTTTTTCATGTGTATGCTCATTTTGCATCCTATCTCTAAGAGTAAAGCCACTTATCCACCTGAGCATCCTCATCTCTATAACACTTAACTTAATATTATGCTTCTCTTTTAATGACCAACATTCTGCGCCATAAAGCATTGCAGGTCTAACCACAATCTTATATAATTTTTCTTTAAGTTTGAGTGGTACTTTTCTATCACACAACAAGCTCGATGCAGTCCTCCACTTTATTCATCCAACTTGAATTCTACTAACAATATCCCCATCTATTTCACCATCACTCTGCCAATATGATGAAAATAGGAATAATTTTTTCTGTTATCACAAGGAGAAACTAACAAGAATTTTGTTCATGTTTGTTAAACTTTATATCCTTTAGCAATGTGAAAGTGTAACAAATTAATAATATTGGTCATTGCTGACATGATGAAACTTAATAGGCCACAAGGGAGAAAAGGATTTCTGTAGCTGATCCTACGTAGTGGGATAAAAGCTTGATGTTATTGTTGTTGTTGCTAATATGATGAAAATAAGAATTCAGATAGTTTGATGCTCTTGTTGTATCATGAAGATCAATGGTGTCATGCAGATAGAGGATTTAATTGGATTTTCAGTTAATCTTTTACTGAATTCAATGTGAATTGTTCTAGAACATGCTAGGAGTTCACATCATGTTTTGGATATGCATTGTGCTTTTGGCCACCTTAGGTCAAGTGTTCCCTTTGTAATGTGTTTGGTTCTGAATATAAGAGAAATAATGATGTGATGAATGATTTTGGTATTTATAGCTTTGTTTCATTTTCTTTTTTTAGTGTACCAGAGATGTAAACAAGCCCCCCTTTGCTTTGGTTGTTTGATTTTTGTTGCCTGGCTTTTCCGATTCCTCCTGGCCTTAGCTGTTCGGTACTTGTTGCTGGCTTTCCCAGTTCCCCTTGCCGTGGTTGTTCGGTCCTGCTCCTTGGCTTCCCGGTTCCTCTTTGCTTTGGCTGCTGGGTTCCTGTTGCTGCCCCTTGGCTTTCCCAATTCCTGGCTGTTCGGTTGGGCTTCTACCGTGCCTTTAATGCTGCATTTTCTTCCCCTTTTTGGCTGGCCGTTGGCCTCCTTTTTCCCAATTTTGGTTGGCTGTTTTTAGCGGCTGTTTGGGTGTCTTTTGGGCTTCCTTTTTTTCTATTTATAGGGCTGTTTTGTGGTTATTTGGGAGGATGAAATTTGCTGATTTTTGGAGAAAGAAAACCTGTGGGTTTTGTTCTAGCTTGCAAGCTAGCTTCTTTTCCCTTTCCCTTCTATTATTTCGTCTAAGAACTTCTAATCTATTTCTTCTCTCCACAAGTTACCATTCCATTGTATCTTTCTTCTCAAAAGTTGTAAGGCTTGATTAGTCGTATGGTATTGTTGTGTCTTTTTTTTTTAAAGTGTGGTTGTATTTATTTAAACTTCTGGGGGATATAATAGTATCTTTTCTTCTATTTTTGTTTATGTATATGTTTTATGAAAGGAAGATTTATGTCTTGGCAATCCAAATTTTTGGTTGCATCAACTAGTTAGTTATATCGCATTCTCCTGTGATTTTATACTGTTTCTTCAAGCGATTGAGCTGTCTTGAAAGGTTTACTTTCACTAGGTTTCTGAAGAGGATTATTGCTTTATGAATGCAACAATTTCATGATTTTAAATATTTTGGGTATCCCTTACTTGAAAAAAAGTAATGACCCGCTCTTTTAGGTGGCTGCACTACTGTTCGATTATACCTGGAACTTATGGAAGAGTGATGTACAGACCATATTACAGAGTTTTTCTTGTTTAGCTCAGTGTGATTCATCAAATTCTTTGATGGAACATCAAAATGATCTACTGTTGACTTGCGAAAGATGGTTGTTTTGTACTAAGATAATTCGGCAGCTAATTATTTCCGGGAATGCAAGTGATGCAACATCTGCTCAGGTAGCATGCACTCTCTCTCCATCGTGATACTACTTAGTTTGGTCCAATATTTCTAATTCCTCCTTTTATATTTTCAAGCACTACTGTTATGAGTTTGACAGCTACACTAACTTTTCCAGGAGGTCCGGCCGATCAAGGAGGTCTGTCCTGTGCTTTTGAGTGTTATTCAATCATTCCTTCCATATTGTAAGATGATTCTTCCTTTAAAAATGTCTGTTTTTGGGCCTGATAACATTATTGCTGTTGTTGTTATTATTATTATTATTCATTTGTGGTTCTTATGCTCGTATTGTTCCACCTCCAGGAAAATGGCTGTTCCCATTCCATCCTAGTTTGCAATGCTTGAAGGATTTTCTTCTTCTTGTAGTTGACATTCACATAGTAGTGAGATTAGTTTTGGAGCATAAAAAAAATGAATTATGTAGGAAAAATCTGATGGCTTAAAGATTATTAGAAGAATAAAGGCTGAATTTAGTCAATGCAGTTTTAATAATTTGATTATTAGAAGAATAAAGGCTTTATCATGATTGAACTAAATATCAGAAGATAGATTAAAACTTTATTAAAGTAAAATAATATAATAGAGAGCAATGTGCTTTATATATTCCATCCGCTTATCAGTCTGCAAATATTTTCACAAAATGGTAGACAAAAGCTCTGAAAAAAAATAATTGATAATTTTGACTTGTATGATATTTGCAAACCAGCTTAAAGGGGGTTTTGAATGTTGCCGCACCTTTCCAAACTAGAAAAGGTTAATGCAATTTATCTTCTACCTACTTGGAGTTTACCCTTGATTGTCTCCCAAACATTTGTATGACAAGGATGCTAGCAATGTTCCTGCTGGTAGCAAGCAATGTTCCTGCTGGTAGCTAGCAATGTTCCTGCTGTAACTAACAAGCTTCCCTTGATTGACAAAATTTCGTGCTGGCAACCTTCCTTGATTGGTAGATGCCTTCCAACGCTTAGCCAAAGTGTCTTATGAAGCATTTTTTTAGGTTTTATTGGTGGAAAAGCAAATTTTTTTTTTGTTAGATTGATTTTCTTTAGGAGAATTGTCACTTATTACTGGAGAACATCTGCTTGGAAGAAAAATTAGGTATAACTTACCTTAATGAAGCCAGAAGTTAAAACATTTTTACTTCTTGTGCCCAAGTAAATTGAGTGATTGATACTATCCAAATATATTCAGGAATCACATAATGATATAGAAATTATGTTGCTCATTACCCTTAAAAACAGTGTTTGTAGATCAACATCAAATCGAAGGGACTAGGTAGGATAATTGTAGGCTAAAACTAACTTGGTTAAATATTTTCTAAACGACTTGACTAAACTTTAATTATTGCCCAATAAAGTCCTTAACAGGACCAAAAGCCAAAAAAAAAAAAAAGGATACATACACCTTAATTGTGACAAGGTTCTTGATGAGGATGGCGATCATAAGTGAGTATTGAACTCCTGAATGTGGTTGTATCGGTAACAATAACATAAATAGGAGTGTGGGCGTACTTGTTACAGCTTTTTGCAGGCACCATATCTGGATGGAGGAAGTTTTTTTGCTTTAAGCCATTGATTTTGAGGCCTAGAGAAGGCTGTAATAATATCATTACGGTGACATTTGATTAAGAAGCAAATAGTATTCTTTGGCGCCATGCTGTCATTTTATTATGTTACTATCATCGAGACATGTGCCCTTATTTTAAACTTTTTAATGGCTCTTATCTAAGCAACATTTTAAGAAGTTGATTCTAGTATTTTAGTTCTTCTAAGAAATATTAATGATTTTTTCTATGCATGGATTAAAAAGGCGTCGAGGCGGATTATATTAATAATTAAGCAAATAATTAAATAATTAATTAAATAATTAATAGTATAATTAGTGCATAAATTAATTATCTATTTTAACTTAATTGAATAATTAGCATTATAATTATTAATTAAATTTTAATATAATTAGCCTAATTAATATAAATTACATATTATGAAAAGATTTTTCTTTTCAGATATAAACATTAACGATCTTCTTTTAAATTCATAATTGACTTAATATTTTGTCATTTTCTATCATTATTTATAATTTTACATTAGCTTATTTTTATCATTTTGAGGCTCAGTCCTCGATCCGCCTCGAGGCTTACGCCTCGCCTCGCTTATACAAAACGCCTTGATTATTGATTTCACCTTTTAAAACATTGTTTCTATGAGAGGAATAGTTAAAATGGTTATGGACTATTTATGAGGGGTCATTTTAGTCCCAGGGCTATTTAAAATATCTAATTTAAAATATCTAATTTAGTTCATTGACTTCTCAAATATGAACTAAAGTAGTCTCACATGAAAATTAATGTTTAATTTGAAAAAAAATATCAGGTAAATTTCATGAATGAAGTTTTTTTCCAAGAAAACAAAGTTTCAATACATCTTGATTCGTATTAAGTACTCTTATTATCCTCCTCATTTGTGAAAATGTGAATTTTTTGTCAAATTAAACAATAGTTTTAACTGTGAGGCTATTTTAGATTATATTAGGAGTCAAGGGACAAAAGTTGAATATTTTAAGTAATTTGGAATAAAAATGACCTCTCACAAATAGTCCATGGACCTTTTGATCTTTTTCTTTTTTCTAAGATATGAATTTAGTGGTTCTTTGTCGGCAAATAATAGTAATTTAGGGGCTGTTTGGTTGCCTGAAAAGAAAATGTAGCGTAAAGTAAATGCAATGTAAAGTAAATGTAGTGCATTCTGAATACTTTGAGACTGTTTGGTTGTCTGCAAAATAAACGCAGGAGAATTGTTTCCCTTGTTTGATTTGGTGAGGTAGAACCAGAATAAAGTAAAAGCAGTTTTTTGTAATAATTTATTTTGACAATACAACTAGTGTATTTATAAAAGCAGTGTATTTATAATAATAGTATTATTTTGGTGTTATAATAATTACTATTATTTGGTGTTATAAAATAAGTTGATTGATTAATCATTTGTTGCATTTATATTAGGCAAATTCAATGATTAGAAAATTCATCATGACTAAAATTTAGTTAGGATATCCTAAGTCAATTTACCCTCTTTTGCAATCATTGTGCTACACAAGAGCAGCATACGGTTTCCAAAAGTACATAATGGGTTATTAAAATACTTCTTTTCATAACTATATTATTAAACATGTTAATCAGTAAAAAAATTATCCAATTACCTTAAGATCCAAAGACTAATAAAAACAATCAGACAACATCCTTGCAAATCCTTTCCTCCACTATTCGACATAAGAACGTAATCAGAATTACTCCATCTGTGGTCCAAGGGATCGTAGTCAGCGAGCCACTTCGGTGGTTCGAGGTATCGGGACACATGCTTTACAATCATTGTATTTTATAAGTTAACATTTTAATGAATTAAGTCTAATAGATGTTTTGAAAAAAGTAAAGTAAAAATAGCGTATTTTGAAAAATTTGCCATAAAATTGAAAAAAAAATGAATTTGAAGATAGATATACAGAAAACTAAAATTTTTAATAAAATTGAAAAAATATGAATTTGAAGACAAATTTAAAAATATTATTTGCCATGAAAATGAGATGTCTGAATTCTGCACCATTGGGAATTTCCACAAGCACCTACAGTGCACAAACCTGTAGCATGCTCTTTTTGGAATTTCAACAAACCTATAGCATTGGTCATGAGCACGAACATCCACACATAGTTCATCGTCCACACACAGGACAATCGGGTTGGTGTCGCAAACCTGTTTGTTACATCCCTGCTCCAATACTCGGCAAGCCATGGCCGTACCATCCAATTTCTGCTCTTCACAAGCTGAAGGCCATTCTATCATGGCTGCATCTTCATTGCCATCCTTTTACTTAGCATCCATAGCAACTTCCGAACTGCTCTGGTCGTAATTCTCGGCAACCTGATTGCATCCTGTAAGAGCTGAAGCATTGAAGTCGGGAAGCTGTGGCTTCCTTTCTGATTCCGTCGGCACACATAGGTGCAGGAAAGCAGATTTAACAAGGACAGAACATCGTCGATGGAGGAGGAGTTTCTTAGAGACTCGATCAAAAGTCTATCTCACGTGAAGCAGGCAAAGTTGAACATCAACAAAGAAAAGCAAATGGGTTATCGTGGCAATGGAGGAAGAAACGAGCAAGAGTTACCGCAGGCTTTTCTCTCGTACCCCCGTGAATTACTTTTTCGCTCCATTTGAGCGGGTTTCATTTACATGTAAAATGAACTACAGCGGGGAGTTTCTAATACATTAGGATTTTACTTTATTTTACATTCTGTCAAACCAAACACCAAAAAAAAAAAAAAAAAAACATGTATTTCTTTTAAACCGATGTATTTCTTTTACACTGCATTCATTTTTACTTCAACCAAACAACTCCTTAGAATAAACGGAATGCAAGAGTTTTGAAATTTCTGGTGTTTTGTTGGAAGAAAAACAAATTCGGAGTAATTGTTTTGTAGTCATTTGGAATTCTCTACTAGTTCATGTTTAATATATTTGGAATTCGTTCTATTTGGATGTATTTCAAATATACTCCTTTTGTGAACCTTTACTCGTTGACCACCAGTGTCTCCTCCACTGAACATCACTGCCACCCTAATCCAAAATTACTAGTCTTACTTTGCAAGCAGCCAAACACAAAAATAAACTTCTGAATTTCTTGCACAAGCAATTAAATACTGCTAATTATTTCAAATACATGATTGTACTTTACATTGTATTATGAATATATCGGACTTCCAAATGCTTTCAACAAAACAACCCCTTAATTTTTTTTTCTTAAAATCTGATTTGTCTTTGAATTATTTTTGGAATATTTGGCCTGCCATACATTATGTCTTTGTGCTTCAGGCACTTCATTCATGGAAAAACAACCTGAGTTTTGGAACTTCACAAAGAGGGCTTGCATTAAATTGATGAAGGTTTTGGCTGCATTTCAGAGGAGACATCCATACTCATTTGGTGATAACAATGTTCTTCCACCTATTTTGGTTTTCTGTTTGAATGAGATCATCAATCCCGAACAAGCAGTGCCGTTATTTAATGAGTTTCTGATTCAATGCATGATTTTAATCAAGTCTACAATAGAGTGTAAAGAGTACAAGCCTAGCCTTACTGGCCGTGTTATTAATGAAAGTGGAGACGCTTTAGAACAAAGGAAGAAAATCATCTCTAGAGCTGTTTTTGACATGCTTGCAGCTGTTTTTCCTAATGACCGTGTTGTTCTGCTGTGCAACATTTTGATAAGAAGGTAGGAATAAGATCTTTTATTGACGTATTTTACCATGTTAAAATCGATACTTGTCACTGGCTAGCAGTTTGCTTTATTTTACGGCTACTTGTGAATCTAGGCATTTATTTTTTGCGTTATGACAATTCATTTTTTGTTTGCTTCATGTCTGCTGCATTGTAAAACTTGCCATGTACTATCATATCGTCTTTATAATTTTATTGGAATAGCTAATATTTCTGGAGTAGAGAGTTGCCTTAGATGCTTTGGTCACATAAAATGACAGTCTTCTGATGACCCGGTTAGGAAAGTAGATGTATTAGATTTGACTTATGTTAAGAAAGATAGAGGTAGACCTAATAAGATTTGGTTAGAAAATATTAGAAATGACTTTTCATTATTAGATTTAGATGAGAATTTGACTCTTAATA